CTCAAAAAATACTCATAACTAGTTTTTTCTTTAAAATTTTTCAATTATTTCATTTACATTATAATTTTTGCGCAACAAATTTCTTTATATAATTGTGGTATAACATCACAAATTTTCAAATCGTTATACAAAATATAATAAATTAACATTAAATAAAGTTCAAGTTCGAATTATTTTTTTTCCCTTTTAATCCACATTCTAAAAAAAATGAAAGAACAAATTAATTAAAAAAGAAAAAAATTAACATTGAATAAGGTTCAAGTTCGAATTATTTTTTTCCTTTTTAATCGACATTGAATAAGGACTAAATAAACGTTAAAAGATGGTTGGAGAGCTAACTCAACAGTCGGTGGATTAACTTGACTTCACAAGATAATTGGAGGGCTAAATTGTGTTTGCTTGATCTAACTTGGCATCGCAAGATACTTGGAGGACTAATTGTATTTGCTTGATAGTTGGGGGGACTGAGTTGAGTTGTGGGACTAATTTGGCAATGCTAGATACTTGGAGGACTTAATTATCTTTGCACGACAGTAGGGGACTAATACTTGGAGGACTAAATTGTCTTTGTCTTATAGTCAAGGTACTAACTTGGCATCAAAAGATACACAGAGGACTAAATTGACTTTCCCCGATAATCGTGGGACTTATGGAAATGCTAGATACACGGAGTACAAAATTGTCTTTGCATGATAGTTGTTGCTAGAGGACTAAACTGTCAATAATTGATAGTCTAGAGACTAACATGGCATTTAAAGATAATAGGACTAAATTGCCTTTGCATGATAGTCAGTGGACTAATTTAGTGGTGCTAGATACTTGGAGAACTAAATCGTCTTTGGAATGTCAAGATACACAGAGGATCTTTACATGATAGTTGGGGGGATTATACTACATGTACATAATGATTGACACAGTGATTTACACCTTGGCGAGTGATTTATACCTTGGTGAGTTTGTAGAATTTGGTGCATTGATTAATCCTACTATGGGAGACTAATTTGGCAATGCTACTACATGTAAGACTAAATTATCTTTGCATGATTGTCGGGGGACTAATAGACACTTGGATGACTAAATTATCTTAGCATGACAGTCGAAGACTAATTTGGCAATGCTTGATACTTGGAGGGCTAAAATGTTTTTACACGATAGTAGTGGGTCGAATGGCAGTACCAGATACCTGGTATCAATATTAGATACTTGGAGGACTAAAATAATTTTCAGTAAATACTTAATTTGACAATTTGCTGAACATCAGAAATTATTGAAAATGATTAAAAAGGTACTTTGGACACTGCACTTCATATTCAAAGATTGTTTTAATGAACTTCATGTTTGGCCAACACAAGGAGACGGAAGGATGGTGCTTAACAAATGTGTAAAATAAAAGATTGATTTAGCCCCTGCCTTAAAATCCGCATTTTGTTTTAATTTCTCAAACTGTAAATATATTAAATTAAAATTGCAAGGACCTTAATGAAACACTTTTAATTTGCCCCAACTATAATTGTTTGACAAATGCTTTGGGAACACACGCAAAATAGATATAAAATATTCCAGGAAATGAATAGCCCTACACTTACTATACAAAAAATTGGAAACACAAAAAAGAAAGGGCGTCAAACAGGGCAAACATGTGCTTAACAAAAAACATCGTATGGTTTTCAAGTTCAGAATTTGAATTTGAATTTTGATTTTGTTCAGAAACTTGAAATTTACCGTTGAGGTTCAAAGTTCAATGACCAAAGTTTAAGGAACAAGGACACCTAAAAATACATGAGAAGTGAGATTTTAAAAACACAATGAGGTTAACAACAATATTTGCACTTCAAAGACCTAATATATATAAACATATATATCGAACAAATGATCAAGAATTTCAGATAAACAAAAAATGGTTTCAACGGAACAAAACTCCAGCCTTATAAGAACATCTGTCAACGGATACATGAAAAACCATTGATCTGAAACAACCACCCAAGGGGCAACAACTTTATGTTGCTCGATTGCACCCAACCCCAACAACCCAAATTTATGTGTTGCATCGAAGCAAGTTACTTCACCATTATCAACCCAGAAAATCCTTTTAACATGCTAACAGAAAAACAGCAGGTTCTGTTTTAGCTGCATACCCATATTTGTATGTACTATATTTCTTGTGCACGCCACTAAGCTTCCCAGTGCCTGCATTCTGGTGGAACGATACCATGAGTTTGGCACAATCCCTGCAAAACATTAACATTTTGTTGATTGATTTTCGCTCAATCATTAACATTTCATTTAGGCTTTTCTTGAAATAGGAGAAACTGTTACTCACAGAAGCTCGTCTTCCATGTATATTGCATGCTTCTCGCAAGTCTTATTCCACTGTGTCGACCCTCTGAGAGTACATTGAGCAGTAAAGATAGCAGCAGCTGCTAGTAAAGAGGGTGGGAACCTAAGCATCTCATACTCAACCAGGCACAATTCAATCAAAAAGAAGGCTAGCAGTTCCAACTAGTTCAAAGTTCAAAAGGAAAATGTCACGATTTGTAATAATTATTAGAGATATAATAGACTTTTAAACTACCAACTTACCTTTTTATAAGATTGAGCAGCTTTGAGAAATCGTATCATGAACACATAAGGAGTTGGCACTGAAAGATTGAACTGAAGGGTATTGATCATTAATTTTTCCTGTCGAAACCACAAGGAAATTGTTACACGCTGTCAAAATATGATATTAACACAACATAGATTTAACAAATAACACACCATATCAAGAACTTCCTTTCTTGAGTAAGCTTTGTCAGAAATCAATACTAGATCTTCGACAACTGGAACAGAAACCTCTTCATACTTGCAAGCAAGAAGCATAGCTGTCACCCCAACAAGCTGGAGTTTTTTTCTCACAACTGGATGGACTGCTAAAAATCTATCGATGAGATTGACAGTTAAATATAAGGTCTCATCCATCAGCTCGAACTTGTAATGCACCTATATATATCATATTAATAATGAGGTTCTACTGCTTATTTCGATTTCTTGAAGAGACCCAAAATGGTACATCATTTCATTTACCTCAATCAGCCAATCAATGAGAATACCTCTCATCTTTTCATTAATATCAAATTGCTGTGCCATATAGTTTGGTGGGACGCAGCTTAAACTCTGCAAAATAATTATTACAGTAGAAATCACAAGAAAAAGGAAAGATTTTAGTATATAAACTCAATGCAAGTGAAAAACCTCTTACTCAATTTTGGAACTTCTCTATGACCTAGAATTTTTTACTGTTAGAATCTCCTCATAAAAGAATTACAGTAACGAATATGAAAAGAATCAAGTGAAACAAAGTACACATTGCAAAATAACACAGCATAGTTACAGGTTCAGTCAAGCATCATTAACATAACATAATAAATTAAGAAATCTATAGGTTTACAAATAATATGGGTTTACAAAAGGGTCCAAAAAAATAAAGGATAACGGTCAAAATTTCACCTCTGTCTTCTTATAGTAAGAGCATATATCATCAATATACTCGACTACTGCAAATGGATTCTTCTTATCACCAGTGTCGATGTCCACAACTGGTTCCTCCGCATCATCGACGTCTTCCATTTCAACTTCTGCATCCTAAATCATATTTTGCAAGATCAATGATGCCATCTAAAAGATAACTAGTAGTGGTTACCACATCAAGCAGGAAATAATATACCATCCTATCAATTTCTTGCAGCATAGCTTCTGTGTGTTGAACAAACATTGGCATATCAAAGTCACCCGATGCCTTGTGGACCACCTCTGAATCATTAATAAGGCAGTCTTCAGATTGCCATGCATTAGAAACTGGTGGGACAGATGGCTTGACTTCCTACGATGGCATGGTTGGAGATATCTTAGGCACAATAAATAAAGGAAAATACTTCTTGTACATCACCATTTACATAATCTTTTACATATTGATGAGGTGTCAAAAAGAAAGTGAGAAGTTCTTTTTTTCTATTTTGGATTATGAGATCTCGACCAATCTTGCCATATCAACTATTGGTAAACAAATCTTTAAATTGCTATGTACCACAACCGATAAATATATTTGAATAATAAATAAAAACATCCTAAAAGTGACACCTCGATAGATCGCTGCTGATTGACAGCCATTTGTGCTGCAAGCTTCCTGAACATGCACCAACAGGTAGAAATAAGTAAATTAAAAGGTCCAAAAAACCTATTTATCAATTTGGAAATTCTACTCAAATTTGACTTTTACTACATTAAGCAGAACATAATAGATTATTTATTTTTACAAGTAAATACATCTCATTTTGTGAGTAAAAAAAAAAAGGCAAAACCTATTCACCAATTCTACACAAATTCAACCACTCTATGTTCTGAAGAACATATTGAATTTTTTTTTTTTTTACAAGTGAACACATTTCTTGCCTTTTTTTGTTTACAGAGTAAACTTACATTTCTTAACACATACATATCTTTTCATATTACCAAATACCAAAGATAAACACAACAACAGTAAAAATCTTCTTCTCAAATTCAACGCTTCTATATTATGCAGATCATAATAAACTATTTTCTTTTACAATTAAATGTATCATTTTTCCTTGGAGAAAAAAAACAAAAGATTACAGTAAAAAACACGAATTCAAGAAGGATCAATAGCCAACCTAGTGACAGGTCGATGAATGGGAATGGCAGGTTTCTTATTTGGATCAGCATTTTTCCTGAGAATATATATTTTTATGAATTAAAAATTCCTAAAACATTAATGTAAAGAAAAAATATTAAAGTGTTGGGTTTACGAAATCCATACCCTGTTAAAGAACCTCTCTTGTGGGCTGCACATGCATAAGGGGGAGGTGCAATTATGTTCCTATTTATCGTACCCAGTGCCCTCCTAGTTTGCCCAGCTCCTGTAGTCCTCAACCCACCTATTGATCATCAACAGAATTATAAATTTCCTTCGTTCCATGGTTAGGATTTTATTTAAAAAAAAACTAATTAACTGGAGATTGAGAAACCGAATAAGAATCAATTAAGTGCCATTTTTTACAAATTCAAACTTTTTAAATATTTAATAGTACCTTGAATGTTTGAAGGCCTGATCACGGCCGGAAAGTTCTCATCTGATCTACGCATCTTGATTATCTTGCAAGTCAGCTAAAAATTTGAAAAGATCAAATCACAGACATATTAAAGAAATCAATAAACCAATCGTAAGAAAAAAACCAAAGATCTCGGGCAAAAGAGACAAAATTAAAATCATGCAATCAATTAAGATTCAATTCAAGGCCCAAGAATAAAAACCCTGATTTTAAAATGGAAAAAAAAAAAGAAAAAGAAAAAAAACCACCTTCAAAATCAAGAAAAACCCAGAAAGTTCTATACTCTACATTCAACGACAAAATTTAGAGTATTGAAGATCTCTGCCTCTCTTCCTGTTTCTCTTTCTCTCTCCGAGTGTAATTTGTATATTTTCTTGGGATTGAAATTCTGGTCAATTGAACAGACGAATCAATATAGGAGAAAATTGCTTGACGAAAACGTAAACAGCGGATGTCTGAATTTCTCTCATATAATTTAAAAACAACGGCTAGTAAATGCTGGCCGTTGGATGAAAAGTCGTGATGTTCCGCGTTTGACCTCAAACGGTAACTTCTTCTCCCTTTTGCATTTGTCTTTCTGCCGCATGT